TTTCATTCAGTTTACTCGTCTTAATTTTCTTCATTGAATATGAATGAGGAAAAATCTGATGAAGAAACTGATAGCATAAGAAAGAAAGATAGAAAGAAAGAAAGAAGCAAGGGAAGGAAGCAAACATAAAGGAATCATGCTATTCTAAGAATTAAAAAATAAGTCGTAGAAACTGCTAGAATAAGAGAGAAAGTAAAAATGAAAAAAAAAAGGATATATTTAGACTGCAAAAATTATTGAAATAACAAAGAAGATAAGCTATGTGTGACTGACATAAAAACACGGAAATAGAAATAAATTAAAAACGAAAAAAGATGTTACGTGACTAACAAAAAACAATGTGAAAGAAAGAAAGAAAGAAGAGAAAGAAAGGATATGTTAAGACACTGGCAGAAAATCACTGAAAAAGAAAGAAAGAAAGAAAATATTAAGGCCCTGGAATAAAATCATTGAAAAAGAAAGAAAGAAAGAAAATATTAAGGCCCTGGAATAAAATCATTGAAAAAGAAAGAAAGAAAAAAAGAAGAGAAAGAAAGAAAGAAAGAAAGAAAGAAAGAAAGAAAGAAGAGAAAGAAAGGATATGTTAAGACACTGGCAGAAAATCACTGAAAAAGAAAGAAAGAAAGAAAATATTAAGGTCCCGGAATAAAATCATTGAAAAAGAAAGAAAGAAAGAAAGAAAGAAAGAAAGAAAGAAGTGAAAGAAAGGATATGTTAAGACACTGGCAGAAAATCACTGAAAAAGAAAGAAAGAAAGAAAGAAAGAAAATATTAAGGCCCTGGAATAAAATCATTGAAAAAGAAAGAAAGAAAGAAAGAAAGAAAGAAGGGAAAGAAAGGATATGTTAAGACACTGGCAGAAAATCACTGAAAAAGAAAGAAAATATTAAGGCCCTGGAATAAAATCATTGAAAAAGAAAGAAAGAAAGAAAGAAAGAAAGAAAGAAAGAAAAATATGTTAAGACAATGACATAAAATCATTGAAAGAAAGAAAGAAGAAAATATTAAGTGACAAACAAGAAACAATGAAACAGAAAAAGAAAAAAAAAGGATATTTTAAGAAACTAACGAAAACATTGAAATAGAAAGAAAGGCAGTTAAGAAGGTCAATGGATGAAGACAGGACTTAAAAGAAAAGAAAGAATATTAACAGATTGGAAGAGAAAGAAGGTAAAATCAAACCATATATATATATATATATACATATATATCTATATATATATATATATATATATATATATATATATATATATATATATATATAACCACGTAAACTGATAATGATTATAATTCAATTCCGACGTTCATAACATTTATATTTATATATATATATATATATATATATATATATATATATATATATATATATATATATATATATATATATGTTAGTGTGCGTCTGTATGTGTGTGTGCGGCCTGAAGATTGCGTTCATATATATATATATATATATATATATATATATATATATATAAAACGAGGCTTGGAACAAAACCAGTTAATAAATCTTGAAAAAGGTAAAGAAAAATAATTAATGTCAGAAATTAAATAACGAGATAAGATTTTAAAAAAAAAAGAAAATGAAAAAAGAAAAGACAGAAAAAGTGGAAGGGAGAATAGAAAACAAAGAGAACATTTTAAAAATTAACACCACAAATCAACGAAAACTCAGCCACAGTATAATAATATTGTAAAAAGCAGAGTAAATAAAAAAAAATTCAATAAGTAGATTGTATATACAATATGGACAGAAATATGTGTGTGTCTGTGAATGCAAAAATGAAAACAATAAATGAAAAAAGAAAGTGAGATAAACTTCTTTCATAGTTTCTTTATTTTTCCTTCATTTTTTAAAAAAAAAATACGATATAAACCTTATCTTCTCGGCCGACGTGCTTTCTCGAGCCCTGAAGGAGTTTAGCTCACTTTCAAGATGATAATCCAATGACGTACTCAACAAGCGCGATTTATTCGCAATCGTCACTCCTCACCACGGATATTTGAGCGAACATTATTGAGTGTTGAAAGAGTGATTCTGAAGTGGAATAGGCCTCAGGTTCTTCCTCTTGACAAAAAAAAAAGCCAGGGGGCGTTCAGCTTTCATACAAAAACAAGAAATTAACTCCAAACGAAAAGTATTTATTTAAAAAGAAATCCTCAAATCTGAAAAAGATAAAAATGAATTGGAAACTTGTTACTAACAGTATATTCATTATTATTCATATTATCTTTCGTTTCACACCAGATATATCTGATCGCTCATGCTAGAGGTCAAGAGACAACAAGTCAAAAAAACGAATAATTCTTTTCTCGCGACTTCAATATTATTAAGCGCGTAAAAGAGAGAGAGAGAGAGACAGACAGACAGACAGACAGACAGACAGACAGAGAGAAAGTAGCCCGCCAAAAAAAAAAAAAAAAAATGTGACGTTAGGTTAAAAGAGCTGCTGCTGCACAAATGCATGAAACGAAACGAAATGTACGAATTTTTCTTTTTTATTATTATTATTAATGATATCGGTAGTATAAGGAAATATTCGGCATTTATTGACCGCACAGCTGTTACTGTTGTTTGATACTATTTACATTATTCGGACTATAGTCCTCATCTTTGTCGCCATATTTATTACAGCGTTTCGGCCGTTGTACGCTCTGGCCTTCTTCAGGTGGCTGGAATGTCGAACTGAACCCCTTATTACGCTCACTGGAGTAGACTGTTCTAGTTCCATGTGCCATGTTTAATGAATGTCACTTATCAGTTATCTCCTGATAATTCCCATCTCCAAGTTCTCCACTGCCTTAAACGGGTATTGAACTCGCACACTTTGGATACTGTCACTGGATCTAACTAACTAAATTCATACACAGATGTCCTCAAGGACACAAGGCAGTGGATAAAGGCGTTGGTTAGATTATTTGTATTTTAGTATAGGAGATGAAATAGAATATAGAATAAATTGCACTAGGGCTAGTTTGGCCCATTACCTAAAATTCCAACAAATATTAAAAGCAAAATATTAAAGGGATTCGAGTTTTCAGTTTAATATTTTGCTTTTCATATTTGTTGGAATTTTAGTCATTGGGCAAAAGCATCCTCTAGTGCAATTTATTCTATATTTTATTTCTTTATCTCCTATACTAAAATTGTTACAACTGATCCAGACAGGTACTTGAAGGGTTTAGCATTTACTAATTCCACATCTTGATTTATTTATGATGGATTCAGTTTTGGATTGGTTTGTTTTACGGCATATCAACCTCAATGGGTTATTTAATACCGGCAAGATTTTTATTTCCAACCTAGTAACGCGCTTCAATTTATGCAGTCGAGGCACTAAGGACAATTGTTTATGAAACAAATTGCCATGAAAATATTTGTAGAAAAGAGACAGAGAAGCCACATCAGGTCGTTGGTTAAGGAACTGAAGCCGAGATGCCAGGTCAGGACCGATTACATAACCGTTCCTCTTTGGATTTTGTCAAGAATCTCGAGATATATGTTAGGAGTGCCAGACTAGATATCGTAACAGTATTCAATGCATGCAGAAAATGGTAAATGTACAGGAAAGATTCTGATGTGAACGCATGCCAAGCACGACACAGCCGATATTCCTAGCAGTAGATTTAGCTGTTGTATCAATATAATAACTCTAGTTTATATCAGTAGAAAATTTGAATCCAAGAAGGCGCAAAATGTTGCTTTCCTGGAGTTTAGCATTAGCCATCGTCATGATACCAGACAGAAAAAGAAAGCAATTTTGTTTTAGAGACCTTAATATCTTCAAGCCATTCATATTGCTGGTAATACTTTTTCATTCAAAAATGTATTTTGGGTAATACTTTTTTGCTTAAAAAAATATATTTTAGGTAATATTTTTTTCCTTCAAAAATATATTTTGAATAATATTTTTTTCCTTCAAGAATATATTTTGGGTAATATTTTTTTTCCTTCAAAATTATATTTTGGGAAATATTTTTTTCCTTCAAAAATGTATTGCTGGTAATAAGTCTATTCCTTCAAAAATGTATTGCTGGTATTATTTTTTTTTCTCAAAAATATTGGTATTAAAACCTATTTTCATAGTATCTTGACCCAAGTTTGGTGGGGTTAACTATTTGCCCATAGCTGAGACCCTAACAGGTGCTAGCACCCCGAGTCAGGTTGGACCTGGGAACACCAGCAATTAAGAGTTGGTTCTACGCTCCTCAAATCCGCCTGATCAGTGGCCTTGCTGTTGGACGTAGTTTATAGTCTTACCCTGGACGGGATAGATTCAGAATAGGTGTCATCAGTGCCTTAATTCCAAATTCAGATCATAGATTCTGGAAAGGTTTCACTTGAGTCCTATTTCTTAAAACGCTTTCAAGAGGATTTTTATTCAAATTTATTCTTATCCCAACTATGAATATCTATGTCACCGGCGTACTTCCGATCAGCTTCAGTACACTGGCCTCGGGATGGAAATCAGGGTCGGTGCATTCTGTTGATAGATAAGTTTGGGAAGTGGAATCGAATACATCGTCTTAGAAAAGATTAAACAGACTGGAAAGGCTTTAAAATTTAACACTCAAGAGCTTCTCAAGGTAAAGAGTTATCGAATAAGCTATGTGTTATGAAAGTAAACGGAGACACATCGATAAGCAAGCGTTTTCTTTGTTTTTTTTCAACGATGGGTGTTTGGTTCATTTGTCACAAATATGTGTTCTGTTTGGATACTGAAATCCTAGAAGATCTTGACTACTTTCCTGTTTAAGATTCAGTTATCGGTTACTTCTAAAATCTGCTTCAGCTCTGAACGCCTAAAGTCAATAACTGAACTCAGAAACCACTATTTATTTCATTTTATTTTTTCTCTCCTTCATCAATAAATAAGTTCGCCTACAGTCCTGTTCACACTCCTCCCATGTCTTTTGAACAGAAGTAAAGGTTTATTCCTTGTTTACTGTTTACGACTGGGTTTCCAGTTCCTCATGATGACTGCTATATACTCCCAATGTTT